CCTCTCCCAAAAAAACCCTAATCAGAAAAGGCAGTTTCATATTCAAACCTGATTTCTCTAGTGATAGAAATGTAGCCGTGTTAGTCTGGTGTAGCTGAAACAAAAAACAGGACTATGTAGCACTTTAAAGACTAACAAGATGGTTTATTAGGTGATGAGCTTTCGTGAGCCAGACCCACTTCCTCAGATCAAATAGTGGAAGAAAATAGGCACAACCATATATACCAAAGGATACAATCAAAAAAATGAACACATGAAAAGGACAAATCAAATTTCAGATCAAAAGGGGGATGAGGTGGAGAGGTAAATGTCTGTGAGCTAATGATATTAGAGGTGATAATTGGGGAAGCTATCTTTGTAATGGGTAAGACAATTAATGTCTGAGTGTCTGAGACGTTTGTCCAGTGTACATAGCAGATGGACACTTTCGGCACATGATAGCATAAATTATATTTCTGGATGAGCAGGAATATGAGTTCTTGATCTTATAACTCAATTGGTTAGATCCAATAATGGTATCAGCAGAATGAATATGTGGACAAAGCTGGCAACAACCACAGGACATACCACACTAATACCAACCCTGGAACCTTCCCTTGCAACAAACCCCGTTGCCAGCTTTGTCCACGTATTCTAAGCTGGACAAAGGTCTCAGACACTTCGCCAAAGAATCAATGCCCACAAAACAGATATTAGACAGGATCACAAAGAAAAACGTTTCTTGCCATTTCAACCAGAAAGGGCATTGTCTCAATTACTTGATTACCCGCATCCTGCTTCAAAGACCTTTTCATACCAGACTTGAAAGAGAATCCTCTGAACTGTCATTCATGCTTAAATTTGACACTTTATGCCTAGGTCTAAACAAAGACATTAATTATCTTACCCATTACAAAGATAGCTTCCCCAATTATCACCTCTAATATCATACCCCTTAATTCTGAAATTTGATTTGTCCTTTTCATATGTGTTCATTTTTTTATTTTATCCTTTGGTATATATGGTTGTGCCAATTTTCTTCCACTATTTGATCTGAGGAAGTGGGTCTGGCCCACGAAAGCTCGTCACCTAATAAACCATCTTGTTAGTCTTTAAAGTGCCACATAGTCCTGTTTTTTGTTTGATTTCTTTAGTGATTTATTTTTTTAACTCCGTGTTCCACCCCAACCCTGTGATGCAGGGGTTTTCAAACTTTGTGATACCACGACCCCCTAAAATGCTAAATTAATTTGTGACCCCCACACACCACTCTCACTGCCCTGAGTCACTTCCTCCCCCCTTCTCACCAGACTCCTTGCACTCCTGGGGTTCCTTCAAGGCATTTGCGGTCCTTAACTCCCTTCTTTCTGTGCCTCTTTTTCCACTCTCTCTCTCTCTCTCTCTCTCTCCCCCCTCTTCTCTGTTCTCCACTCCTTTTCCCATGTCTTCTCTGCCTCCTCCTCTGACCCCCATCTGCCCTTATTTACCCCCAGTCCTCTGCCCAATCCCCCAGCCTGCTACCTGAGGAACCCCCGCCCTCTCCCAGCTGGGGAAGAGTTCTGTCGCCCGGCAACTGTGCCTTGCCCCTCATGTGTCCACTCCTGTGCTGGCCTCACTCTCCCGCCACCTTGCCTCCTGCTGCAGATAAGCCGCACTCCTAGAGTCCCACGACCCCGGCCACGCTGCGCGGCTTGCCGGCAGCTGCCTTCTGCTGCCCTGCCGCTCTTCACAGCCCAGGAGAGAGGGGTCGCAAGTGGAAAAACTGAATCCAGCTGCGACCCTTCCCCTCTAAGTTGCTCGTGACCCCCAGTTTGAGAAACATTGCTGTGATGTATTTGTGGATACTAATAAGCAGGGCTTGCCGAACCACGGCGAGCCCCACTCGCCAGCCGCGCTGTCCGGCAATCTGCGCATGCCCAGATCATTCTGCACATGTGCAGATCGCCCGAATCTGGCTCTTCCGGGTTGCAATCTACTCGCCACGGGTCCTGTTCTGTGGCAGGTTAAAGACTATCAGATTTATTTGGGCATAAGATTCCTTGGGCAAAGACCCACTTCATCAGATGCATCTGACAAAGTGGATCCTTGTCCACAAAATATTTTGCCCAAATAAATCTGTTGTTGGTGTTTTTTGAAGTGCCACCGGGCTCTTTGTTGTTTTTGCAGAGACAGACGAACATGGCTACCTTTGTAAACTCTTTAGGGTAGGGGCCATCTTTTTGGTGTCTAGTTTTAAGCACATAGTGCAATGAGCTCTTGATCCATTGACTGAGGCTCTTAAGTGTTTTTAATATATTCTGTCATGCCCATATTATGTGTGGGCTTCATTATGGTTTTGTATCAGTCCTTGGCTTTTTACATTATAGATGCAACTTTGCTTTTTAAATGTATCACTTTGTTTTAGGCCTTCTATAAGAAAACAAACGAGGAACAGATGCCTACATAGTGCTGTGGCTGATTTTAAGACATTATGCAAAGAATAATTGTGCAAAGACATACAATTATGTCTCTGTGTATCTGGGATAAAGTTTGTCTGTTTTAAAGGATCCCTCCTGACAAAGGTTTCATTTTTTAAGCTGTTTAAAAAATTAGAATTCATAGATTCAAACGTAGATGAGATGACATTAATACTGGTTAAAATACCCCCTATTCTTTGCTGAAAATAATTCTGTACTTTACAGTGACAACAGAACGTCCAGTGCAAGTAAATGTGGTCAAGGTGAAGAAATCTGATAAGGGAGATTTCTACAAAAGGCAGACAGCGTGGGCACTTCGAGATCTTGTTGTTGTTGATGCCAAAGATGCTGTTAAAGTATGTGTTCGTGTTTGTGTGGCATGTTTGGAATGTATCACTGTAACTATACAACAACTTTAAAAGTTTTGTATTCAGAGTTCTGTCAAATCTAATTTCTTGGACACATGGTTTAGATTCTGACAACACATGAGGGTTGGGGGCTGGGACATGAGCTATCTGTCTTATTTTGCCTATAGCCTAATCTGCCTTGTCAACGGGTATTATCGGAACTCCAGTGAGGGGTAGCTGAACCCAGCATAGCCCATGTGACAATCTCAATATCTATGTAGCCTGTCAGAGGCATCTCAGGTAGGTAGAACTTGGCTTGCATGCAGAAATTAAGAGAAACACTCCTTTCCCAATTTAGGTCCCCTTCAAATGGGTTACAATTATAGAATGAAAGCATTACAGGTGATTTATTATTCATGCTAGATTAAATAAAGTTTGTATAAAAAGGCATTTTGAAACCATGGTGATGAGCCATATGTAAGAACCTAGATAGACCTGCCTAAAGCAGATGTACATGATGAGATTACATTTTTATGACCACCCCAAGAAATTAACACATTGATTCATCTGTTGAAACATGTATAGCCCTGAGGTATTTTGCCTTTTCATAAATCCTAGATTATGCATGTCCATGTCAGTAACTTGTTTTTTCAATCTGAAAATCATATCTGTTCTGTAGAAGGTAACATTTCCTTTTTTCTGTTAGTATTACATACCTCAGAACTTAGTGTATAACTGGAGATGGGAATGGTGGGGAGAAAACACAGGGTCAGTCTACACTAGAGTACTACAGTAAAACTCCATTAGTCCGGCATCCAATGCTCCGGGACTCCTGATGGTCCGGCACCATCAGGAACCCAGAAGTGTTGGGGCAGCCGGACAGGCTTCCCTCATTCAGCTGCTGCTGAAACTGACCAGCAGCTGAATCGGAGAAGCTGGGAGCAGAGCAGCTGGGGTGCTGCGGGGTTGGTCTCGTAGTGCTGCCCCTCTGGGCTGCGGGACCAACCCAGCAGCAC